GGTCGGAGAGGTCGGAGGTCGGAGATTTTATGGTATGGACTGCGGGTACGGGGAAGAAGGATGTTATCGGCACGTCGATGTCGTTCATCGACAAGGACTGGACGTGGCGTTGCTTGTGACAGTCTGCAACGAATCTCACGATTCCGGTGTTGTGCAAAAGAAGATCTCGAGCCGAATTGTGGAGCTGTACGATGTTGACATCGGCTGCATGGCTCACTTCGTCATGTCGGATACGGCCCCAGCAGCTCGTAAACTGTCGAAACTATACGAAGATGCAGTACCAGTGGACTGCTCGATGTACGTGTTAAATCTGTGTCTTGTGTACGGCCTGGGCATGAAGGAAAACGTCAAGACCTGCCACGTGGTCAACCCGGTGCCAAATTTGTTACAGAAGCAGCGGCAGATGTGTACGCCAGGAGGTCCATTTCCCAAAGGCGCAAAGCTGGTGAAGAAAACAACTACTTCAAGACCCCGCAACATGTGGAGAGGCTCTTGCGCGTCCAGCAAGCCTACGGGTTGCCCGAGCTCAGCGCGATGGTGAACTGTGATACGCGCGTGGCCTCGACGGTGACGCTGTTTCAGAAGAGTATCCTGAACTACCCCGAATTCAAAGCCTACTTCCAACGCTGTGAGACCTACGATGATCCCACGATATTCGCGAGGTTATCAAACGAGGACTGGCAGACGATGGCCCAGTGCGAGGCGGTAACACACATGCGATAACCCGAGCACCGGCGACGTCGGCATGACGGAAGAAAAAGGTGCGATCGAGGAAGGGCGGATGCTGCTTCGCAGCGCACACAGCGCCGTCTTTGAAGCTATGTATGCTGCAGCTCATGAGGTACACGAGAGCGCACGAGAGAAGTCTCCAAACCTGGACCTCGTGCCGTCAATGGACGACGATGACATGCTATGTGGAGCGCCGTTGACGTTGGAGGATGCAGACCGGCGGTCCCTAAGCTTTCTTCTTAAGGAAGCAGATGAGGTGCTGGACAGGTGGCTGATCCACATCGTACCCTGGGTTCAAGTAGCTGTACAGCAGGCTGACGGCAAGGGCATAAATGCAGAGGCGATCACAGGCCTCTTACTGGTACGCCGCAACGGCACTGTGCGCTGGAGTCTACAGGGCCTCTTGAAGCATGTTGATGTTGGTTGGTGGTTCCAGGAGAACGGCGCCAAGCTGTTCTCTTCGGTTGCCGCTCTTGCTCGCGCTTGGCTTGGCCGCGTGTCCTTGAACGCGTTCCAAGAACGCGTGTTCTCGACGGGTGGCTTGATAGTGAGCTCGCGGCATACGAGCACTGATAATGAACGTGCTGAGATGCAGGTCCTGCTCAAGCAAAACCGTTCTGAAATCAAGCGGATGGAGCCGCACGGCGGAAGCTCCGTCGTCTTGATCGACAATGTGCAAGTCTCTTAAGAGGTCGAAGGGTAGTACTTCCGCCGGTACTATAGTACTTCTACACAGTAACCCAGAAGGTCGGATTGAACCTACTGAGTAAAACAGTAGCTAAAATAAACATAACAACTACTGGTGGCAGTAACACCAAAAAAAAAGCGCCGGTACTTTTAACCTCTGCCCCTCACTGTCCCTCTATTCACCTGCCTTCTGGTCCCTATAACAAACTGCTAGGAGGAAATCGGAAAACATCGTCAATTAATGATCCTATGGATAAATGTGTGCCCCTAGGTATGTGAAGGGATCGACATCCTAGCCCTCCTCAATAGCAGCAATCCTATGAAGACAACACTGCCTCGTTCTGTTTCGTTTTGGTTTTGCAGCATCGTTCTTTAGCTCGCTTTGGGAGTTGGGGCCATGACATCCATCCTCACAGTTTAGTTGTTAAGGTTAAGTCCTTTTTTCATTTTCGGTGGGATAGGACCAAGAACTTCGATCGGCAAATATGATCATAATTCATTCAAAAACGATAATGTCCGAGATAAGTTTGTTAAATGCATACAACATGTAGTGCGTACGAAAAGGAAGGCCAGCTCAGGTGCCGGGTGATGAGATGAGGACGTGGCAGACGCAAAACCGGTCTCGCCTCTATTTGTGCAGTATCACTGCAGAAGGCGGTGACGGTGAGGTTGGCCAACTGAATTACAACGTTGATGTCGAGAATCTTGTTTATAGAAACGTGAGTGGCTACAGCTATTGCAGCTACAGCGGTTAGACTGCCGCCGTAGCAAAAGACAACTTGAACGAGTCGTAGCTGCGACGGAAAGAGGTTGGGCATGTTGATATAGCAAAGTGCTAATGGAAAGTGATTGATACCTTTGCCACGGTTGGAAACATTCGATGTGAAAGTACAAAAAAAAAAGATAAATCCAGAGCTTTAGTACGGCTTAGCACGAAAAGGAAGGTCAACGCAGGTGACGGATGACGAGATGAGGACGTGACAGACGCAAAGGGATTACCTGTCCAGTGTCAATTATTCGTGTGCCAACCCGGACTCGCCTCTGCTTGTGCATTATCACTGCAGAAGTCGGTCAAATCTCGTGCACAGGTGTATCAGGATCATCACGGGCGTGCAACGATGCCATCGCGGCGATGGCAGCAGGGAGACGAGTTGAGCTCGTATGTACACGCCAAATCCCCTGATCCCTTAGTGTTCGAGTTCGACGACCACTATGTTTACTGTATGAATACATGGTGCCTTATATGTATACTTAGATGAAGTAGTGCTTTTGTGAAAGGTATGAATTTACTCCATTTCCGATAAGCAAATAAACCTGGCGTTCTTTACCCGTCGGCAGCTACCGGTAGTTGAAACTGTAGACACTGACCGCGCTTTGGCTGAGAGTTGCGGGTTCATGCAGTCCCCAACGGCGGAGTCGTTCGCTATTGCTCAACCTGCCAATTGGCGGGGTGTCGTAAGCTGCCTTCCACCAGATGCATGTGCCAATTTTTTAAGCCTGGGCTCAAGCCACGAGCAGGGCACAGATGGAAGTGCAGCAATTCTTGTGGCCGGCGGAAGTGCAGTAACATGGCATTTGGCGCCCCATACGGACGCTGTGAATGGCTCGAGTGTATTCACCAGTGACTTGGTCTTCCAGCAGATGTGCTCTGACAATGGGCAGATCCATTTTGGTGCTTATATAACGCCACCACTGCAGCTCGAAAGCAGTGCAGTCGCATTGCCTGCGAGAATGCCCACTACGTGTACGACCGCCATCCCATCCATCCCATCGAACAGACAGATCCCAGTGACGATGACAGTCGATTAGGAGCGCAATCCTTCTAAGCTGCTCATTTCGGATGGCCCGTGAGTTTAGCAGCGGTGCGAACACGTCAAGCAGACTGCCAACGTGCCCGCTGAAGGCAGCCATGACGTCAAGCCTGCCACTAGAAATAACCCACGTTCAGCACCTTCATGGAATCCGCCAGCAAGCATACGCTTATCTGCGACGTGTACTAATACAACCTGCCTCAGGGCAGCCTGCAGCCGTGTTCAGAACGGCCGAGCTCTGAGTCTCTGTCGCTGCACCCGAGCAAGTTGCTGTTTGCTTCAACTTTGGTCTGAACCAAGCGTACCAAAAGGCTGGTACAGTGTCCGTACAATGTCGAGCTTTGATTGGCTGGAGCAGCAGTTTCGTCCTTTCTGACGACGGAAACGCCCCGTCTGCCGGACTTGTTCGGCGACTGCGCAGGCATCATTGTGTGCACCACATCAACTTGCAGCCAGCGCAGATAATTCCAGCTGGCCTAGCGGAAGAGCACACAACCGATGCGACAGGTGCTCATTGTAGAACTCGCCGCGCCGCCCCAAAGCACGTGAACCGGGCGGATCAGCCGCAGCGACAGGAAACGAAATCAGAGGGGCCGCCAGCCAGTCAGGCCCCGTGCGCATTTGAGCACGATAACAGCCTCAGCTACATCCACAGCACCAGGGCCAACAGCGCCAGGTACAGCAGCAGCACCAGCTAGGAACGATTGGACGATGGGCAAGTGGGGCCTACCGAGGAGGCGGTCACATGGCGAGCTGCCACGCCTGCACGAGCTAGAGCGCGCCGTGCAGGCCGAGATTAAAGACATTCGCGGACGTGAAGAGCTCTTTCTGCGCTCCACGTCGGAGCTCACGTCGCTCATGAAGAAGCTTGGCCGGACGCAGGGCCGTGCTTACTTTCGCTATGTGCTACGCGACGTATTTGGCGAGAAGTCCAGACTGTATGAGGCCCGCGGGACACCCTCGACGAAGCAGGTGTGTGCGTACGCCAAGAGCGTCATTCAACGATTGGCCAAAGCCATTCATTTCGCGCCGCTTGTGCTACGAGCCGGTTGCCACTACATGCTCACCGAGTTCCGCAAGGCTTTCCCGGGATGCAAACATGACGCGCGTATCGTCGTGGGTAGTTTGCTCTTCCTGCGAATACTTTGCCCAGCGCTCATCAAGCCCGAAATGTTCGACTTCCCTGAACACACAACGCAATCACTGCCTATGGGCGTGCAGATCGCCAAGATCCTGCAACACACACTCACTGGCACGCCAGTCGGAGACAGCGACCCCGCGTTCGACGACAGCAACGCCTTCATTTATGCTTTCCAGCCCTACGTGGCCAACTTCCTCGTGCGCTTTCCCCAGATCCGCGCTGCGTTCGGTAATGAAGAACCGCAGCAGATGCCGGTGGTGCGTGCGCCTGCGTCCTGGGACTGCAGTAACGTGACGCCGATCACGCCCACAACTCCCACAGATGCCGACAACTGGGCAGCCTCGCCCCGCGCTGAGTCCTGGAACGCACACCGTCCCAATGGCAAAATGCGCGGTCTCTCCATGAGCTCCAATGACGCTATCAAGAACAAGAAGAAGTTCTCGTTGCGCTTCTGGTCCAGAGGACCCGGGGACAGTAGCGGCGTCGCCCAGCGGCCAACGCCGTAGGCTAATCTAGCGCCGCAGTCAGGATAGGAACCCACCATTATTTAATCCAGTCAATCATGGAGAACACTTCGCCACCAACCAACATTCGATCTCCATGTCCTTCGTAAGGATACCTCGGCCTGATTTAGCAAGATCTCCTAAGAATGCATACAATGTCTATGCGAAACTTAGGAGATCTCTTTTTTTAGAAAGAAAAAAAGCTTTGGTGATCCATTGATCTTCAAATTGGCTCGGCACAAGTGCAGGTTGTCTGGGGACGGCGCCATCGTAGCCATCGTAGCCATCGCAAATGGACAACACCGGCCCAGCTGCTGCTTACCTTAGGACCTACGCGGGTGATCTGACGTGCGCGTTCGGACGCCGCACCGGCCGAGTTTATGTGGGGACGGCCGACGGAAATGTGCTCGCGTTCGCCGCGAACGCGTCGGGTGAATCAGATCGCACCGGCAGCGCCGAGCTGTCCTTGACGCAATTGCTCTGGCGCTTCCGCGTGTGTGCACAAGCGGTGACGGTGAGGTGGCTTCAACGGTGTCGACAGCGGCGCGCTGCGTTCGGAGGGCGTTCGCGTTCGTGACGTCAGGAGCGGGAGGACTGACGCAGAGTGAATGTGTTGTTGCACTTGCCCTTGCAGAGCGTGTGCGGCGTGGAAAGTGATGGGCTGGACAAGGCCACGCTGCTTCTGGTCGGCAGCGCTGGCGGGGAGCTCGTGGTGCTGCGCGAAAAGCTGGTGAGGCAGGGATTTGTCTTGGAGATCTGGTAGAAAGGTTGCAATGTATTGACTGTCGCTTGTTGTTGCGGTCAGGAGCTACGACGGTTCCGGTTGGAGAGTGCAGTGCAGCACATTTGCGTTGATCGGGACGGAGAGTTCGTCGTCGGGGACGCGCTGGGCAATCTCTACGGCGTGACACAACATGAGATCCTCTGGAAGGTAGGTAGTTGTCGGTAGAGTTAGATGAATTGGTACGCTATGGACTAATGCTCGCTATGCTGCTACTAAGCAGAGTCGACTGCCTACTGTTGCTCCTAAGGATGACATTGGAGCAGAGTACTTCTATCCATCAGTGGCCACACCAACAGTGCAGGCGATCGCGCCTGCCAAGCTGCTGGACGTCGAGAAGACACTGTCGAACTACGTTATCGTTGCTACTGGACAGAAACATTTACTTGTGACTCACCGCGGCCAATACGTTGGCTTGATTCCTACCCGTACCCCAATTGCAACGTTAGCGAGCTTTCCCGTTGGAGACGAAGACGTCGTGCTGGCAACCGGGGAGGAAGGGTGAGCATTACTGTATGCTGACGCTGACTTGAGTGCAAGAATGCTTTACCTAAATTTACTGTGTGGCAGGGTTATCTATCGCCTTGTGAGCTATCGAGACGCAATACTGAAGGAGATGCCAGACTTCCGCTTCGCTCTGGAAAAATGGGCTCAAGCGTCATTTTCTGTCGCAAAAATTTTGCCTGTAAAGACCCATGCATCTACCTCCAAGTCCGACTTTGCGTGGATCTGCTTTGGTGTAGATGGTGAAGTCGCTCTTTTTTGTGGACAAAAGCGTGTGAAACTATGGAGTGCAGCTTCGTTTAGCAGTGCACGCAAGGTAGAGCTAGGTTTTCCCGTCGATATGACGCTGCTAAACGATCGTGATGGCAACACTAGACAACAAAGCGGGGCTATCGTGTTCCCAGAGAGAATACATATTTTCTCCATCGAGCTCACAGACAAGCAGTAGTCACACCAAATTAAAAAAAATGGTGATACTAAGTAACATTTTCTAGCATTCGTGTATTCAAATCACCAGTTATTCGGACAAGCGTGGTCGCCGGAAGAGCACCAAGTTTTTGCCATCGAATGGTAAGAATGCCTTCTCGATTTCTGGATGCTTGGCTGTGAGGTACTCGACCAGGTTTTCGTACGACAAGACCTTGCTGCCGTTCGGTTGTCGACGATCCGGGAACTTTTGCCCAAACACACAGCAGGGCACCACCGCGAACGGCTTGTTGAACTTAATAGCAACGTCAAAAATCGAGTCCGTGGCCTCATCAGGGTGCATGCCCACGAGAAGCGATGCTTGCTCAACGAGCTGAACATTCTCCGTTGTCTCCAGGAATGAATCCATGTTGAAGAGCGCTGTAACTTGCGGTACAAGGATCTCGGAAAATGAAGCCTGTGTTTCACTCGATTGCTTGCGCTCCTTCTTCTGTTTCTTCAGGTATTTGTGCTGTTGCTTGGAAAGCTTCATCGGACGCTGAAAAAAATTGTGTTAAAACCAGATTTTCTTAGTCTGAGAAAAAAAAAATCAAAGTTTGACTTACCGGTTCGATGAGTGTGCAAGGAAGTCGCCGCCTGTTCCACAGCTCGAAGGACACGCTCCCTCTTCCTCCTGCAACGTCCACAACTCCTTTGCCGGATGCAAGAAATTCTGCACCAAATGTCTCAACCAACCATTCGACGAACACCTGAGCACGCTGCTGCTTGCCAATTTTCCCGTGAGGATCCAGAGGATCTTCATCGATGTGAGCTCGAACACGTTTCAGGTGCAGCCGCTCTTTCAGCCACTTGGCACGTTCTGTCTTCCGCTCGGCATCGCTGACGTGGAAGAACTCGCAGTTATCGCCGTGCTGACAAGTCTTCGAGTTGATCCAAAACTTGCAGTGCGCTCGCTCCTCTGAAGCTCCAGTAGCGGTTGGCTCCGTGCTATCGTTCTCGCCACGCGTATCGTTTCCTTCATGGCCCACTGACTGCCGTTTAGTCGTGGTGACAACCGTGGGAAGAGGGAGGAATGTCATGCCAGGGTGTTCATCTTTCCACGCTCGAACTACGGCAATGTCGCGCGCATGTACCAAAATGGAGGCGCCACCTTCAAGACGCTCGACGAATCCGCGCACGCTGACAATATCCCCAACTTTGACTCTGTATCGGATAGTGTCGATCTCTTCCGCTGCCAGTTCACCATCGATGATCTTGAGGATCACCTCTATCCGTTCTCTTTCACCATCCGACCCCGTTGCTACCGATGCCAAGTCGAAGAACGAGCATCTCCGACTGATACGCCGTTGATGCATTAATTGACCTTCCACAATGACGTCGCTCTTCAGTGCATCGCCACTCCATTTCGCCACCTCCTCGCGAAGGGCTCCCAAGCTCGACCACACCGCCATATTGATGGCTATTGATGGCTATCAAAAGTTTTGGATTTGATGAACGCGTTTTGATTGGTTGTAAATAGATGTTGTTAAGAACGACAAACTGTTCAACAAGTACCCGAGGTTAACTAGGTCACTTCACGCAATGAAGACACCGTTGGCTCGCAGATGCACTTGAAGGTGCATAGTGACCTCTTCGTGGTGCGAGAGGTACGGAAAATCACCTCCATTTTTGATCAATGCCTACAAGATATTTAATGAATTGTCGAAACGCGATGTTAAAGTGCATGTAAGTGAAATGGTTTAGGACGCCAAGAAAGAAATTATCAACCTGTTTGGCGCGGGGGTATCGGTAACCGACTTGGTCTTTGAGACTTGTAGGGAGGCTGGTATCTTCGTAGCTCTTTAGTTGGGGGAAAATATGACATTGGTTAGTGATCACACCAAAACCGTAAACGGTGTTTGCACTCACGTCAATAAGCGTGATTTTAGCGTCCGGCAAGGAAACTTTCCAGCTCTCAGGATCGCAAGAGAGGCAATTGAGGGTCAAGCGCGAGGCGATTTCCTGTTGGGACAGAGTCCCAAGCTGCAAGTACAGGACACAATATCAGTTCAAAGCATAGTTAGCTATGTAGCTGGAGTACAAAATTTGTTCTCCGGCTAGATGTACATTTAATGTATACCATGATAGCTCACCTGACTCATCATGTATTCCATTGCATGGTTCTGCGCATCCTTGTTAGGAATACGCTTCGGAAAGCGCTCGAGTATATATCTGCATCGCCGGCGTACTTGAGCAACAAACTAAAAAATGCACTTCGAAGTACTAATTCTCACTCACTTTCTCACGTAAAAGTCTGGCATGTAAGGCAGCCTGCAGTTATATCCAATAGAACGAGCGACTTAGCACAAATCGACTCCTTTCAAGGTAGTTATGAACGCTTACATCTTAATGCATGGTCCGTTAGCTCCGTACACTTGGGTATCACAAAACCCTTGCGTCATAGCTAAGGACGCGACGCGTTGCGGATAGTGAGACATATAGCGCTGCAGATAGAAAACGTCGGTGAGACGCCAGAGCACAACGGCAATCCCTAGAATCAAACCTGGATCAAGTACGCGCCAAGTGACACAGCATACACGTGAACCTAAAATACACAGCATTGTTTGTTAGTTTATCCAGCCCCAATCAAGCATCAGCCAACTCATCATCACCTCAGGCAAATTCATCGCGTTGAGGAACCTGTCGAAGCTTTGAATCCACTCCTCATGCGTCCAAACAATTGGGTGTTGGATCTGGATAATACAGTACAAGAGATTAGCAAGATGAAGTCGGATCACCTCGAATCCAATTCTTACTGCCAGAACGCGGAACCCTTTTGCCCCCAGCTCTCGCAACTGCAAATGAAAACATAGTGCGGCACCACTTGTTCCGGGAAGGCACACCAGCGGTGGTCTACCAGAGTTCGCATCACTCAGCCTACCCGAATCGTAGTATTCCCAAGTATGGCCATCGTAGGTGGTGATGCGTTGGCGCGCTGTCTGCTGCAGGAATTCCTGCTCGCTGCGCTTCAGGGGCGACAACTCGGCCGCCTTCATCCTGGTTTCACTTGATGCAAATCAAAGAAGGAATCGTATCGAATGGTATCTTGGATACAAAGGTCGCGGCGTTTGGGTGAAAATATTTTCCATTTAAACTACAGTAGTATCATAGAGAAGCAGGAGTTTGATGCCTTACCACAATGAATTTCTAAACTAAGTTGTAACAAAAAGAAGGCCACCTTTCATCATCACCACCATTTAATGGTGTCCCACTTACGCTTATTTAATGATGTTGGCATGGTAACAGTGACAGTCGCATTCTAGATACTTTGTAAGAAATTGAAATTGATGTGTACTGGTGAATTACATGTCGGATTGTTGTAGTCTTTTTCGATGGTTTCCTACAATTAGCATTGTCAATAACAAAATTTCCGAAAATAACAGTAAATTATTTATTTCAGCCGTCCAACAAATTATATATTTCAGGAAAAGGGAATATTGCATTATTGATGGGAAAAATGCCTAAAATTATTTATTTTAAAATGCCATAAAATTATTTTTTTCAAGAAGAGGGCACATTTCCTTGACGTTCGCACCGCAGCAATAAGGTTTCGATGCAATAATTGATGTTCTTTGTCGCAAAATTGAGCGTCTAGCGCGGGAAAGGAAAGCTGCGTTGTAACCTATATTAGGATTTGCACTCACTGCCAAGATGACTTGCTCACAGCGACTGATATTTAAGAATGAATAGATTTCCCTTCCGCTGCTTGGCCGGGAGCATCTACTAGTCCCAAATTGCTGTCAGCGTATCCTGCATTGTCTCCTTGTCCCGTACCGCCTCTCATAACATGAGCTGTGTCGAACTACAATGTCGCTCAAACTGCCACGGCGCAGACCTGATCTTCAACACGCCCCCTTCGAAGCAAAGCTTCGAAACCTTAGATGCCGGTGCCCACAGCTTGCAGCAAGTAGGTCAGGTGAGCCTTGTCCAGGGGCTTTGTGAATATGTCAGCTGAGTTTCTGAGACCTTCACCTTGTATAACTCGATCATGCCCTTCTCCACTTGTGCACGCACATAGTGCCATCGTAATTCAATGTGGCGTGTACGTCGACTGTAGCTCGGGTTCGTTGCCATCACCAGTGCCGCCTGGTTGTCAATACCCAGTCGAAGTTTCACGTCCTTCATCTTCATACTTTTCCTGTAAGATGTTGCTTTCACCCACAGCCTCCATTGTAGCTTCACATACAGCCACGTATTCAGCCTCAGCCGTGGAAAGTGCTACAACTGTTTGTCGTCGTGACATCCAGGAGATTGCACCTCCTGCCAGTGCGAATACGAAACCCGTAGTACTCTTCCGAGTCTCGGGATCGTTTGCCCAGTCACTGTCGCAGTATCCTTCCAATTCCACACACACAGTTCCCTTCGGAGAGCTAGTGTAGGTAATTCCATAGTCCGTCGTCCCCGCTAGATAGCAAACCACACGCTTGAGTGCCCCCACGTGCTTGCTTGAGGGTTTTGCTACGAATCGGCTCAACTGACCCACCACGAATGCCAAATCCGGCCTCGTTCCGGTGGCCAGATACATTAGCATGCCAACGACCTTGCGATATGGAAAGCTGACATCAAATTCTTCATCCCCTCCAAGTGGTACCAGTCGCATGTTGGTCTCCATCGGATTCCCCACTGCATGCACGTTCTCAAAGCCTAGAGTATCCAATATTTCTCGTGCATACTTAGTTTGACTAATCTTTACGCCCTCCACCGATTGCATAACCTCCACACCCAAAACTACTTCAACTTCCCTTGATCCTTAATTCCAAAGGCTTTGTCAGTATCATCAAACAATTTTCGCTTCGAAGATGCATTGTTTGTTGCAACAATAATGTCATCCACGTATACCAACACTAGCATGATAACGTCACCTTCAAACCGATAACACAGGCATGGTTCAGTCAGTGAGCGCTGGTATCCGTGCTCCAGCATCCACTTGTTCAACTCTGTGTTCCACTCTCTGCCCGACTGTCTCAAGCCATACAGAGCTTTCACCACAGCGTAAATGTGTCCAGCGACCTCGCATGGATAGCCATCGATGCCCTTCAGGTACTGACGAATTCCCAACCACGCGTTCAGATACGCCGTGTTCACATCCCCTCCGTAGAGTATCAGCTTCAGAATTGCAGCAAGACCTGCCAACATCCTGAAAGATGACATGCAAGCCACTGGTGAAAAGGTCTCCACAAAGTCGATGCCGGATCGTTGGTGATTTCCAAACGCCACAGTACGCGCCTTAAATCGAATCACATAACCTTGAAAATCTGACTTCAACGCATAAACCCATCCAGTTCGGATTGGCTTGGCATCTTCTGGTATGTCAGTATACGGGATCTCCTTTAGAACACCCTTCGCCTTCAACGATGCCATCTCTTCCATCTCTGCTAGACGCCAGAAATCTGCATACATGGATCGCATTGCTTCATGGTGGTTCTTCGGGACTTTCACCTGGCTCGCCCTTATCGGCTCACCGTTTGCATCCAACACTCGAACGGTCTTTTGGATCGCGTTCACAATGTAATCATCCAGGTAGCTCGGTCGACGGCGTTCGCCCGCTTCACCCAGACCAGCACACTTGCGCTTCGGTTCCATCTTATACGCACTACGCGCCACTCTCGCCTCCTCCGACGATGTTTCATCACGATGAGTTCGTTTTCCAGTTACCTTCGGCCGTAGTATAGCGCTAGCATCTACCACGTCTTCAGGTACTTGACGTTCATTGTCCATCTCGGTAGCAAATCCACTGATCACAGAAACAACATCACTCTCCACGATATTTTCACTTTGATCGGGCTGTGTTCCTGCTCCGTGGTCTCTTTCCTCAGCTTCCTCTTCTTCCGAGCCAACTTGTACTGTAACAGATTCACTTCCATCACCGTCTACTATGTTGTAGTCTTCGAACTCATCACGTAATTCGTTCAATGCTGCTGCAACCGCATTATCCATGGCAGTCTTAGCCTGCTCGCTAGCTCGTATCTCGCTACCAACTTCACTTGCTACAGAGTTCTGCGTCAGTGAGTAATCTCCACTTACAACACGATCAAACTCTTCCACGTAGCACGTCGACTGAGTCGGTCGTTGTTCACAAACACTATGATCTTGGTCATTTTCACCGTCCGGAACTTCGTCCTCAACATTCCAGTCCTTCTCTGCGTCCACATCATCGAGTAAGTCCGTCGAGTTCCATGAACTCGTCACTTAATAACTCGGTGATTGTAGTTTCAGAAGCTTGTTCAAGGTGCATAGACTCCAGTTCAGTTTCTTGCTCTGCATAAACCTCGTGTCGATCACGGTAGAGTACTTCCTCCGTAACACGTAGGTCTGAAACAAACTTCACTGTTCGCTCTTCCGGAAAATTCACCTTGCACTCAATCACATCTTCTGCATACCCAAGAACAAACCCAACTCTGGCATTGTCGTGTTGCTTACGACGACCTGGAGTTGGTGGTATGTGCATGAATGCCAATGCTCCAAAGGTCCTGATGTGATGGAGGTCTGGTTTGACTCCAAACATCTTTTCATACCGAATACCTTGTACTCCCATGTTGAACACCCGATTCTTCACGTAAACGGCGTTGTTCATAGCTTCTGACCACAGACTGCGCGGAAAACCTGCCTGGATCATCATTGACTTAGTCATGCCGACCAGTGACTGATGCGTGCGCTCGCACAGGTTTAATTGAGAACATTTTGGGCCAACTTTAACGTGTTCGATGCCTCGCGCAGCGTACCATTCGTCAATTTCCGCGTTTACGAACTCACCGCCCTAATCTGCCAATACTTGGCGCACGTTGAAGGTTTTCCAATCACTATCACTGCGACTTCGCCCTGCCTGTCTCTCTGCCCAAAGATTGTATTGCTTCAAGTGCTTGCCCACTACATCGCTTGACTTGCTCGTCAATATATGAATAGTCATGAACCGAGAGTAGCCATCCATGATCACCAGCATCGCCTTGTACCGAGTTCCGTTTCCCTGGCTTGGGATCAATAGATCTGCATACACTACTTGATTTGGCTGCTCGAGCCCTCGATCAAGTTTCTTCCAGTGTGGCTTCCTCTTCTGCTTTGCAAGGTGACACGCATCACAAATTTCCTTTTGTCTCTGCGTTAACATTTTTCCTCGCACTAGCCCTTTGTCTACCATGGCCTTCAGATACTGTGGACACGTATACACTAAACGTTTGTGCCACACCGCCAAAGGTGCAATGCCATCAACTACTGTTAAGTTGGCAATGTTCCTGTGGTGTGGTCTCCCTCCAGTTGAGTTTGAGGCGTAAAATCCCCATGTGGCTTCAACCGGATTGGCAATTGCCACTATAACCTCCTCGTCCAGTATGTTGAAATTGTGGGTAGTGCCGTCATGTTCAAAGTCTAAGCCTTGTTCAACCGCTCGACCTGGTGAAATGAGTCCGAACTCCGCACCGGGCACGTACAATACATCATTCAGCACTAACGTGGTCCGAACTCCATTCACATCCGATTCCAAAGCAACAGTACCTACACCAACAACGCGTACTGCGAAGTCTGTAGTCACACCATGCACGCTCTGTGAGTTTCTTGTGTCTTCTGTGAGTGCTATAAAGTCAGCGGAGTTGCCAGTCACATGAGCGTTCGCTGCAGTATCAAAAAAAACCACCAGCCGTTATCCATGTCCAGCTCTCCACTCACGAGTTGCTCAGGAACTTCATTGTGATTTATCTCTCCAGTTTCCACAGTCCCGATGGCCCCCGTTACCACCCCGACATCCTCATCTCCAGAACGTGGATTCGGTGATGCAGGAATTGACTGAAGAATAGTCACACGTCCACGTGCATTCCGCTTTTCTTCGCCTTCCTTAGCTTCGGCACCAGCCTTCTTCTTCGCTCTCTCCGGACAATTCACCTTCACATGATCGGTGCTCTTACAAACGAAACACTTTCTCACTCTCTTGGAACCAGAGTCTGCTGATTCGTCCGATTTGCCCTTGTCTCAGCTGTTGTTCCCAGTATTGCCACTGCTCTTTTGGCGTCCTCCACGTCCTCCTCCACTATTCCGGCCGCGGTAGAACTCGGCCTGTCCGAATCATTTCGCGTACCTTAGTGGGCGTGAAGCTACTAGAGTCAGCACGGTAGCGGACTGCAGTCTTCAGACTTTCAAACTCATGTTGCTGCGGTAGGCGCTCCAGCATGATCTCCACCATGTCAATGTCTTTAACATCATACTTCAAGGTTTTCAACTCAGTCTTAATGTTGAACAGTTTGCACAGGTGTAGATTCGCGTCCCCACCGGGTGTCAGCTTCATGCTCCACATTTCGTTCACCAAACGCCTAGTTGTGTGAACTTTCACAGTCTCGTTGGTCTTGTTTTCAAACAGATCCACTAACGCTGCCCAGATGTCTGTCCCGGACGCCTTGTCCTTAATCTGCTGCAAGATCTCCGGAGGCACGGACGTTCCGATCATCCGCCGAATTTGCTTCTGCTTTAGGTCAAAATCCGCCTTCCCTTCCTCCGTGCTGAGTTTGTCACGCTAAATCTTGCCGCTAACAATGTCCTCCAGCTGCTTCTCCCCGAAAACTGCCTCCATGGCCCACTTGTACGTGTACCAATCCTTGCCATTCCAGTTCTTGGGTACACCGTCGTTGTTGTACTTGAGCCGCTCCGCCATCTGGAGCAGTTACCGAAGTTCACTTGGAAGATCCGCTGTTTTGGGCTCATAACCCTATTAGGATATGCACTCACTGCCAAGATGACTTGCTCACAGCGACTGATATTTAAGAATGAATAGATTTCCCTTCCGCGGCTTGGCCGGGAGCATCTACTAGTCCCAAATTGCTGCCAGCGTATCCTGTATTGTCTCCTTGTCCCGTACCGCCTCTCATAACATGAGCTGTGTCAAACTACAATGTCGCTTAAACTGCCACGGCGCAGACCTGATTTTCAACAACCTATTCTGCTGCTGCGCCAGACATCGCGACCGAGAATACGGCGGAGGGACGATCGTGGAAGTGTTGTGCTACTAAATACTTTTCCGTAATGACATAATTTATTTTCACTGCTGACGCAATGTCATTATTTATTTCGGCACTTTAATGAGCTTCATCGGATTATTTATTGTGTTCCTCATAAATAAAAATGCCGTATTCGCAAACGCGCAAAGTTTGCGCTGCTATAATGCTTCGATGTACATGTACTTGGGGGTTAACTTTTACTTCCATTCTAGATTGCCATGGTTACGTTAGCAGCACGCTGAAATAATTCTGCGGGCTGGCCAGTGGTAGTATGACTTTACAATGTGTAGCACTTACTCAAGCTCCTCCTAAGCGCCTAGAGACCGTAACATAATTGAGTGCAGTACATTGCTCTAAGCAATTGTTTCCAGCTGAGGTATTGTTAGTGTAGGGCCCAAAGCGCTGAGCAACTGCCCTAAAATGATCCACCTCTCGTTGACGCAAAAGCTTCCTGCATTTGACGATCAGAGGCTTTCCCTTGCCGGAAAAATAACGTCCGAACATGCTTCTTACTTCGGCGCCTTAGCAACTTCGATATCATCGTGGTTTACTCACTGACCGAACGTCATGGATCGAGCCTGCACAGAAAGCGCCTCCATCTGTGCCAGTGCCTCCCGCATGTCTTGGATACCCTCCGCAACTTCAGCTTGCTTTCGGTGCATGTCTGCAATCTCAAGGCGGAGTTCGTGTGGCTGCGGAAGCCATTGCCCGGCAGGCAGTTGCGGCAGCATCCTCCCTACTACCGCACAGAGCTGGGCTGAGTTTCGCCCCACCTCGTCCATGGACGTCTGATCCTCAGCCACAGTTTTCTCCACGGTCTTCAAAGCCTTCTGCGCCGCTTCCAAACGACGTGCCATCGTCTCCGCCAACGCCACATCTCTTGCGGACAAGCCCACCGATCTCATCTCCACCATGAACGCTCCAACCGTGGCGATGGCCTCCTCCATCAATTTGTCCTCCGAGTCCAGAGCAGCAAATGCAGCATTGAGCTTCTTCACCTGTCCTTCCTCCTCTTGTGAAAGCGCGCTCCACGTTTCGAAGTACTTCAGCGCCTTCAGCAATCTCGGGTGCACTAATCGTTGCTCCTCCATATTGATTTGGGTACAAACATTACGGATTTATGCTCATTGATCAAAATCACCCGTTTCTTCACAAGTAGACTGGGTTATTTATAAATAACTGGGATTTTTACGAATTTATTTTTCAGCTCGGCAACTGGAGGTGTTGAGCGATCTGGTTCACATGTCAATCCTTCGGTGCTGAGTTTCTTCCTGTTGTTGAGTCACTCCTGCGCCTTGTGACTCAACAACCAACCGACAAAAATGCTTGGCACACCGCTCGAAAAATTTGATTACCGTCATGAACCCGCAATCCGCAAACAATGCAAACTCGTATCTCCAGATCTGCCAATGGCAGACTGCCATACAAACCTGCCGTCAAAAAAAATGTATTGTGTCTCCAGATCTGACATACAAAATTGTCGTCAAAATTATCCGACCACTTTTCACTTTTGTCTTTCCCGGCTCACAACTGAACTGCCAACCAGAAGCTCAGATAAGATGGCCGCAGATCTCTGGTGGGTGGGCGTGCTGGTTGCCGGCGTCGTCGTGGGCGTCTCCGTCGTGGTAAGATACTACTCTGCTCTCTATGTCTCCACTCCGATGCGCCGACACTAAGCTCCCTTGCAGTCGTTCGTAGTGACGAAGATTCGTGCTCCGGGCTTCAAAGTGGATGGCAAGCACGTGTTCATCACTGGCGGCAGCTCCGGCCTGGGTTTGGCGCTGGCCAAGAAGTACGCGCAGCAAGGAGCCAAGGTGTCTATTGTGGCGCGTGGCCTGGACAAGCTGGAGGAATCCAAGACGGAGATCGAGGGCGTCCGCAAGAACGCCGAAGCTGGGGTCTTCATCCAGTCGTGCGACGTGGCGGACTTCGCCAGCGTCCAGAAGGCAGTGGATGCTGCCAACAAGTTCCACGGTCGTGCCACGGACCACGTGGTCTGCTCGGCAGGCTTCGCTGCGCCTGGTTACTTCTTGGAGCAGGACGTGAGTCTGTACAAGAAGATTATGGACGTCAACTACTTCGGCACGCTGCACACCATCAAGGCGGCACTGCCGGCCATGGTTCAACGCTCGGAGGAGGGGGGAGAAGGCGGCCACATTGTGCTAGTGAGCTCCGGTCTCGGCCTCATCTCGTGGATTGGCTACGCGCAATACGCTGCCCCCAAGTACGCCCTACGTGGCCTGGCCGAGTCGCTGCGCAACGAGCTCAAGCTCTTCGGTATCCGCGTGAGTATCTTCTACCCTGGCAACATTGACTCGCCCGGCTTCGTGGAGGAGAACCGTACCAAGCCTCCTGAGACTAAAACCATTGAAGGTGTTAGCGAGCCGCTGCATCCGGACAAGGTGGCGCAGTCGCTGATCAACGGCGTGAGCGACGGCGAGTTCAGTATCACGAACGACCCGATGATCTTCATCCTGCGTGTCTTGGCGAACGGTGTTGCACCGCGCGCCAACACGATGATGGAGACTGTGATGCTGCCGCTGATCATTCCTATCCAAGTGGGCTTCGGCTTCTTCATGGACTTCATCGTGTGGCAGACCAAGCGTGCTCGCGAGAAGAAGCCCAAGGACCAGTAAGAGGCATCAGAGAGATCGACAAAGAGTCAGAGGTAATGAGGGAACAGAGGGCTCAGTACGTTTTGCAATTGTTTCTCTTTGTCTATGATCGAGCAGGAACTTTTGATGCCAGGTTTTATGCCCTACGCTTGCTAAGACGCCAGGAATCGGGCGGGTTGAAGCGATCATAGAGCGGCTCAATCTTCTCATTGCGTTTGCGTTTCGACAGCTTGGTGGGGTCGCCCTTCTTGAAGAAGGCTGGGGCCAGTTCCACAAGCCATTTGGGCTCAATGGTCATGATATTGCGCATGTACTCCTTTGTCGTGAGAACCAGCTCGTGGTAGAGCACCCACTCTGGACTCTTGTTGAACAGCGCACTCGATGGATGGATATACACGGGCTGACCTTCCACCATGGTACGGTATCCCTCCTGTGGGTCTTTCTTCGCTGTGTTGGCGAAGTATCCGGCAACAATTGCGCGTCGAACTTTGTTGTAGTTCTTGCCACAAGAAACGACGTCCATTTTGTATCGATCGAGAATGGATAGCAACTGCTTCCGGACGTCTTGAGCACGACGGATAGCTCGTGCCTGGATGAAGTTTTCATAGCACCACGGGTTGGAGAACTTGGAGTTCGCCCAGGCTTCATACACTGCCAGTAGAGTTAAGTGGTCACCTTCAGGCTGGTGGAATTTAGCCTTCTTCTGGTCAGCCTGAGCCTGCTTCTCCTTTGGTCGGAAGAAGACCGACTCCACCGACAGCATCGCCACGATAGTCAACACCTCCTCTGCGCAACCAAGGACAACGGAAGTCAGTAGCACCTTGGCGTTCTTCGGCTCGACTGGGAACTCGGCCATCTTCTTGCCCAATCGTGTTAATAGACCTTCATCGTCCAATGCGCCCAGTGCATACAAGTTCTCAAGTGCCATGACAAGAGCATCTTGTGGTGGTGGGTCCATGAAATCGAAACCCATGAGATCGTTGATACCCATTGCCTTCAGTTGAAGCACAACCGAGCCAAGATTCGCACGTTGGATCTCTGGCACGGTCGTCGGCAGCATCTCGTTCTTGTAAGCGTTCTCGGTGTACAATCGGTAGCATTTACCGGGACCCGTACGTCCAGCGCGCCCAGCACGTTGACGAGCTGAGGCTTGTGAGCACGGCACGACCACAAGGGAATCCATTCCAATCTTCGAGTTGAAAGCATTCTGCTTGCAGAAACCAGGGTCGACGACGTAGTAAATGCCGTCAATAGTCAGCGACGCCTCTGCAATATTGGTAGCCACCACACACTTCCGAGAGCCCTTGGGTGCTGGTTCGAAAATGCGCGACTGCATTTCTGAAGGGAGCGCACCATATACTGGAAGAATGATGAGTTCGGGGGCCAGTGCACGCTCTTGTAACGCCTTGATACGCTGATACAGAACTTCACATGCCGTATCGATCTCTTCTTGACCGGTTAAGAAGAGTAAAATATCTCCTTCGGGCTCGGATAAATGAATCTGCATCACACAAAGCAACGAAGCGTCCAAGTAGTCCAGCTCCGGTTCCTTTGTATACAGGATCTCCACGGGGAATGTACGGCCCGGGATTGTGAAAATCGGGCAGTCGAAGAAATACCGAGAGAATTTCTCAGCATCCAGAGTTGCAGATGTCACGATAATCTTGAGGTCTTTCCGCTTACGCACAAGGTCCTTCAACAGTCCAAACAGAACGTCCGTGTTGATTGTCCGCTCGTGGGCTTCATCAAGCATCAGAGCACTGTACTTCGACAACGTTGGGTCAGCCAGGTACTCGCGCAACAGCATACCTTCGGTCATGTACTTGATCACAGTCTCCGGACTGGTGACGTCTTCGAATCGCATGGAGTAGCCAACTTCTTGTCCAAGCTCACAGCCAAACTCCTCAGCCACACGCTTCGCCACGGATGAAGCAGCAACACGGCGCGGCTGAGTACAACCGATAATACCGGTAGATGTTAACCCCATTTCGGCCATGTACTGCGTCATCTGCGTGGTTTTACCCGATCCAGTCTCTCCAATAACCACCAGGACTTGATTGTCAGCGATAGCCTTCATCAGTTGCCGCTTCAGCTTGAAAACAGGAAGGCTCTCACGCTGCTCAAGAATGGACTTGTTCGACACAATACCATACGACAAGTTCTTTCCCACTGACTTCTGCTTCCATTCAGGCAGCTCGAACGTCGATCCCATGTTAATACCACGCAGTTCCTGAGCAAAGTGTCGCTCGCCTGCCTCAGGCATTGGATCTTCCCAGGGACGATTTAGATCCTTCGGGATGGAATCGATCAACTGGTTCGCTTGTGTCTGGCGCAATTCACGACGTTCCTTCGCTAAGTTGGATTGTGTCATGGCGGCGCGCTGCATTGATCCATCCGGGTTCTTCACAATCTTCACGGGCGACATCTCACGACTCATATGCGTTTGACCACGCAGGAAGACTGGTTCGTCCTCATTAAGCTCCACCTCGAAGTCCTCTTCGGTAGCTTCAGTGTTAAGCAGACCATGCTCTTCGTCGAACGTCGGATAGTCTTCTATCGAAAGCACACCAGAGTTAATAAGCTGCTGCACTTCCCATCGTTCAGGTGACGACATCCGTTTGGCAGCACGCTGTGGCTTGCTGTCATCTTCATCCAGTTGTTGTGAGCTCTGCATACCCGGTGCAGATGGGTTGATCCACGAGCGTGAGTCCGACGATTTGTTCTCCTGTCGTGCACGCTCCGCACCATCACTTGAGCGCTGAGGCATCAGATCTTTTCCAGTTTTCTGATCGACATCACGCATGGACATCGATAGCTTGGCTCCCGATATTGAGATGAGCTTCACCTTTACACGATCGCCGCGTTTGGCAAACTCCTTGACGTTGCTCACACGATTCGCCGACAAGTTGGAGACGTGTACGAGGCCTTCCTTCTTCTCTCTTGAAAATCCCTCCAGCTCTACAAACACGCCAAAGTCCATTACTTTAGTAACACGGCCGTCGTAGATGCCGTATAGCTCCAGCTCTCTGGGTTGGTCATCTCGTCTTCGTCGGTCATAGTCCCGATCCCGATCATCACGACGTGACCGAGAACCGTAGCGATCGTCTCGATCGCGGTCTCGTCCACGACTGCGATCTCTCTCCCCGTCGCGTCGATCCCGTTTCCTGCCTTCCGGCCGGGATCGGGATCTCGACCGTCTACTTCTCCTGCCGCGATCTTCATCACGTCCACGACTTCTGTCACGTCCGTAGCGGTCGCGCTCTCTGGATCGATCTCTGTTTCGAGAGTGACCATCACTCTCTCTGTTACGACGCTCGGTTGACGGTTTGGTTGGTTTCTTGTCGTCGTCCTCGTCATCCTTGATGGCCGCTCCGGCGATATCCGCGGCTGTGAGCTGCTCGTCGTCTCGGATCTGGTGCCGCTTGCTCTTGCTCTTGGAGTCAGCAGCTGCACTTTTTGCCTGCTTCATTTTGAGCGGCGCCATGGTCTGTACGATACGGTAGAGGTTCTCGGCCAGCGCAGGGGGGAGCGGCAGCTCGTCCTTCTTGATGGACGCCAAGAAAGCGGCGCAGCTGGAGCTGCTGCGCACTAGGTCGATAACAAATTCGGCCAACGTCTTGTCACTCATACCAAGGTGGTTTTCCAGCGCCTGACATACCTTGGACACGAGGCTCAGCTCCTGTAGCTTCTCCATCTTGACCTCCAGTAGTGTCTCGATGCGAAAGGCGGTGAGGAGTGATTGTCACTCGAGGAGTCACTTAAGTGCAACACACCAAAATACGTTTTACAACAAAAATCGACCAATAGTTACAGAGATGGCACAAATAGTTTTTTTTAATATATATATTTCGCGAAATAAAAGATTATTCAAAAAGTGTTTTTTTATTTTCTGTTATGTAGCCATTCCGCACTTCTCTTCATCTTTGTAAGATGTATTCTAACAAAACATCTAATATACTACTATCTTATCGCTTTCAGCAGGAATGGACTGGTTAAAAGCGAAAAATACTATGGAATCGAGCCTTTCTCACTCTCAGTAGCCGGGTTTTTAATGGCTGTCCAATTTCTCCGTCGGTGTCTGTAGTCATACTCACTCATCACTCTGAATAAGGAGAAAGTTTTCCTTCGTCCGATAAAATTTAACAAAACCTACGCACCTATAAGTTTGCAATCCCATCCAATGGGACTCCCTGATATTATGCACCTCCTGCGCCTACTTTATAGACGTAGTATCTGCTTTGTCGAAGCTGTGTTCGCGTGAGGTATTGTAAGGTATGTTTTACACTTTAGAATATTCACATTATAAAAATCATCTCCAAGGTGTATCTTCACCACAACAACGGAGTGCTGTCCAGGGCTCGGTAAATTTCAATAACTGTAATATTAACTGGCAGTAACTTATTGCAATAACTAATTGACCCCCAATCCCCAATTTCATCCAATAAAACATATACTACCTGTTTTTAAAAAACTTTACAATTGGTGGTTGGTATTCGTGGGTGCAATTCGCTACAGGAGAGCATTGCCATACCGCAATTTGCCGAAACCAGAACAAGACTATTCTGCTACGCCACTCTCCACATGTCTTCAATCGCCCCGAGATCCCTTGCTGCTGCCCTCTTTGGCTCCGACGGCGATGGGTACCATCAGAGTCGAATCTGTTTCTCCCGTCGGAAGCAAGTTCGTGGGACTGGGTGCACGAACCTGGTGGAACACCTCGTCCGGTGTCATGCCAACACTTACGAGGACGACAAGAAGGCAGCCTCGATACTTTCGTGAAGGGCGATGAATTCTCCAGGACAATTTATCACTGGTTGGACTGGATCATGATGGAGATCCGCAAACTGAGCATGTGCGGAAAGGTGAAGACGCGGAAGTACACTCGTTTGAACCGAGTAAGCACAAAGACGCTGAAGAAGAGTATGTTCGGGCTGGAAAGCGTCGTCCAAGGACGAATCAAGTTGCTGCTGCGTGGCAAGAAAGTCGGCTCTGCCATAGATGCATGGAGTGAGGACGGTACGCATTTCGTGGCAGTCATCGGTGTAACTGAGACCGACAAGTATCTGTTGTGCTTTTCGACTCTGACGGACGAGTCGGACATGGGGTCAGACGCGATTATCGAGTTGCTTGACGACGTGTTAGACACGTACGAGATTC